TGGCGGCTCTTAGCGGCTTTCAGAAATAAAACCACGAACACAAAACCCACTAAATCCTCAATTCCCTGGCAGGAACAATCTAACAAACTACTTAATGTATTCCCAGACCTACTGACAAAACCATATCTTCAAAAGTGTATAAAGGTTGGGGCCAATCTTATCACTGCATAGATAAGGAGATAAGGGAGCCACCACAGAGAAGGCCCTTTTTCATCATACCATTAGATAGGCTTCCTTAACATACCAAGCCTCCCCGTTCTGGTAGGTCATGTAGATGTAACTGGGATAAGAAAGTCCTTAAAAAAACCTGGCCCGAAATCATGTGGGGCTAAACCCAGAAGCAAAATGGCAATCAATGCAGTTCCAGCAAGAGAGGTGACATATATGCAAATCTAGAGTTACACAAAACCACCCAGGCCATTGCATTTTGAACCACTTGCAGCTCCTGGACAGCACCATATATAGCACATTGCAATAGTCAAGAGATGAGGGGATTAAGGTGTTGGTGACCATGAACAAGTCCAGGAAAGAGCATAATTAATGCGCAACTTGCAGTTGCCCAGAGGCTCTCCTGACTACAAATGCCACCTGTTTCTTGAACCCCCCAATTACACACCAGGTCTGTCTGAGGCAGTGCAATCCTATCCAAAACCAAAGATGGCAATTGCCCATTGACCAAAGAATCCCAAACCCTGAGTCATTTCCCTTTGCCCACTATTGAACTACTAACAACTTCTAGGCACCGTGAGAGGGAGGTGAGCATTGCTTACTTCGCCATGGGCTGAGACATATGGACGTACAAAAGGTATGCCTGAAATCAATGTTTCCCACAGCCATAAGAAGTCTCATTCCCGAATGGAGTCATTCGAAGAAAGGGTCAGCAGTAGTCTCTGACATCCTTTCAGGGCACTTCACAACAACACAATAAAGGGAGCCGACAGCCAATTCTTGGAGGATCGTGCCAAATGCTTAAAAGTTCAGACATTTTTCAACCTGAATTTTGAAAGTTAATCTGAAGAATTCTTATTTCTTCTTACTGTGCAAAAGCACTGAATGGCAACCTTTACCAACTTATTATTTTCCAGATGTGCTAAACCACAGCAGTCGTCCAGGATAACTGGAGGGTATCAAAGTGGGGAAGACCAAATTAACATACAGCTCTCCCTCATATTTGTCAGATACTTGAGGACAAATGTTAATAGCTGAGTTTCGTTGTATTTATTTTATTTACAGAAAAATGTGTTCCTCATCATTCCAATGTTTGGATTACATCATCAATTCCAAGGGAAAGATATAATAAAAATAGGCAGATGCAAAGGATGTTTAAGTTCTTCTAATATGCTGTCCACAAAGGAAGAGAAAGAGTTGGCCCACAAAAAACAAGGAATTCGGAATTGCGGTTCTGAATTGCAACTGAGTTTAAAGAAGCCACTGATCTCATCCAGATCAGCCTACAAAAGAGAGGAAGCTTCCCCCACAGAATTTGTTCTCTCCACCTTCCAACCTCATAATTTGACCTACAGTGAAATGAAAGCCAAGAAAAGCTAGCCATATCTTTAAGCTATGCATTTAAAGACAGTGTAAATCAAAGTTAAATTAAGCTCTGGTCATTCTGCTGCATCCTACATTATTTGCTGGCAAATAAATAAATGTCAACACCATCTGTCTTTTCATCTGGGAAAAGAGTGTGTTGCCTTGTAGGATTTGATTTGGCTAGAACATGGCTTTCCTAAATAGCAAAATGAGAAGTGAGCAAAGGACAATGCCGTAGTCCCAAGTTCTTATTTTCCTGTTGGAGGAAAAAAATTAGTAATGGAAATTGAAGAGCTCTATGAACATGCTTTTCAGCCCCCTCCAGGTTCAAGATATATGAAACTCCTTTAGAGCAATATTTCTCAACCTTGCTGATATGTTGGTTTGGGAATTCTGGAAATAGATGCCTACTCATCTTAAAGGTGCCACAGTTGAGAGAAACAAAGTGGAGAGAGTTAGATTGTGCCGGATTAACTATATCGTAGCAATAACACTTAGACTTATATACAGCTTCATAGTGTTTTACAGCCCTCTCAGTATTTACAGAGTCAGCATATTGCCTCCAACATCTGGGTCCTCATTTTACTGACTTGGAAGGATGGAAGGCTGAGTCAACCTTTGAACCGGTCAGGATTGAACTCCTGGCATTGGGCAGAGTTAGCCTGCAATACTGCATTCTAACCACTGCACCACCACAGCTTCTATGGTACGTTTTGGCAAAAACATAACAAATCCACACTGCATAAGGCAACCTCCCCAAAAATCTTACTTTTTGCTTATAGAAAATAAAACAACTTACATTTTAAGAGCTATAATTGGTGTAAAAATAAGTGAAGCTAACAACAGAGCCAGAACAAGATAAAACCTCTGTTGATTGGAGAAGGGATAAATGTTCTGTGTGAATTCTTACCCCTTATCAAAGCCAGGGCAATAAAAAATATTAAAAACTGCAAAATAAGCTATGCACGTTTAAAAAAATATACATAGTGAAAGTGAGGAAGGGGAACAGATGGACAGTTCAATGAATTATAACTGGGGATAATATGGAAGGGCAAAACTCAACTGTTAGCTTTTTCTTACCAGAAAGCCAAGTCTTCCCAGAGCTACGTCTGTTGTCAGGAGCCGAGGTGGCACAGTGGTTAAATGCAGCACTGCAGGCTACTTCAGCTGACTGCAGTTCTGCAGTTCGGCTGTTCAAATCTCACCGGCTCAGGGTTGACTCAGCCTTCCATCCTTCCGGGGTGGGTAAAATGAGGACCCGGATTGTTGTTGGGGGCGATATGCTGACTCTGTAAACCGCTTAGAGAGGGCTGAAAGCCCTATGAAGCGGTATATAAGTCTAACTGCTATTGCTATTGCTATTGCTATTGCTATTAGCTTTAGGTCTCAAACTACTAATAAAGAACTTTCAAAAGATGATGGCTACTCATCTTTTGTTATTAATCCATGAAAAACACATTGAGAAAAGGTGAGCAATCTCTCAGTTCTCAGTTCAGGTGGAGAACAAAGATGTTTCTTTCTCTGACTTTAGAGAAGACAAGTCATAGATTCTCTTTTGCAATTCACTACACCAAAGATTTGTTTAAATCTGGGATGTCCAACCTGGAGAACTTTAAAATTTGTAGACTTCAACTCCCAGAATTCCTCAGCTAGCATGGTCTGAATCAGGAGTCTCCACCCTTGGCAACTTTTAAGACTTGTGGACTTCAGCTCCCAAAGTTCCTAAGCCAGCTGGCTGAGGAATTCTGGGAGTTGAAGTCCACAAGTCTTAAAATTTCCAAGGGTGGAGATTCCTGGTCTAAATCATGTAGAAATGCCAAACGGTGCAGAGAAATAATGAACTAAGTCCTCTGTTTTAACCGTATTTTAACATTATGTGTTTTAAGTGCTTCTGTTGTTTTACTTTTTTGAAAGGGTTGTTAGCAACTTAAGGCTATACACATTTTTAAGAAACAAACCTGGAATTCTGCAACGTGGTGGGGCATCACCTGGAGGGATTCTGCTCCCAGGAATCTCCTGGCCATCAATATCAACACACCAACACTGCCCAGTGCTGCTGTGGCACTGCAGTGGCCGATAGTTTCCCTTTTCATCACATTCAGGCACATGAGGTCCTCCTGGAATGGGAGAACCTCTCTGGCTGGAATATAACCGCTCATGTTGACAACGAGTCAATCCCGTCACACTTTCTGTGGGTCAGAAGGAAATGAGGTTGTAACCCTGGGTCTTGGCAGTAAGAGTGAGCTTTCAAAAGGATCTCCCCTGGTGGACAGCCCAGGGCAAGAAACGCAGCCAGGAAGAATGGCCAGCAAACCTATCAACTCAGTTTGCAGAATTTCTGCAGAATTTCAATTATTACCGGTACTATGGTTTATAACAGTGACAAAGAACCTTTTCGACACTGAGTGCCAAAAAGGGAGCACTTCGCGCTTGTCTGGGCCGCGACCAGGAAGAGGAGTTGCCCCGGGGACATGCGCGCACCAGAAAATAAACTTTCAGTTTCCAGCACACACATACAGGCTGGGCAGCAAGTCTTCCGGTTACTGCCACGCATGTGCATGCACCGGTCAGATGGTTGGCATACATGCTCATGCCAGAAAACAAAAGACCAGCTTTTATGGTTTCTGGCACTGTCATATGCACAAAGGTCAGTTGATCATCGCATGTCATACACAGCAGTAACCGGAAGACTTGCTGGCCTGCACGCATGCATGTGCTGGAAACCGGAAGTTCATTTTCCGGCATGCACATGTCTCCTGGGTGCTCCTCTTCCTGGTCCCAGAAGAGGAACAGGCAACATCACAGGTGCCAGGAGACATGGCTCCATGTGCCATTTCGGGCACGCATGTCATAGGTTCGCCATCACGGGTATATAATATAGACCAAGAAGCAATGGGTGGAAACTAATCAAGGAGAGAAGCAACTTAGAACTGAGGAGAAATTTCCTGACAGTTAGGACAATTAAACAGTGCAACAGTTCGCCTCCAGAAGTTGTGAATGCCCCAACACTGGAAGTCTTTAAGAAGATGTTTGGATAGCTATTTGTCTGAAACAGTATAGGGTTTCTTGCCTAGGCAGGGAGTTGGACTAGAAGACCTCCAAGGTCCCTTCCAACTCTGCTATTGTATTGTGTTGTATTAAGTATCAATACCGATATTTTTGGCTGCTGGAATTCTTGGGCCATTGATGTTACCTCGTCTTATGGGAAGCTGCTGTGAAATCCAGTGGGAGACAAGAGCATATAGATGTGATAGGAGGAGGAAGATGCACACGATTAGCACAACTTGGAAATCCACCCCCGGCTAACAAAAGTTATACAGGTAGACTTACAAAAATCCATTTAGTGACCATTCAAAGTTACAAAGGCAGTGAAAAAATGTGACCTATGGCCATTTTCACTTATGACCATTGCAGCAAAAAAGTGACCTATGGCCATTTTCATACTTATGACCATTGCAGCATCCCCGTGGTAGATCCAAATTAGGATGGTTGGCAACTGATGCATATTTATGATGTATTCCAGTGTCTGGGGATCATGTGATCACCTTTTGTAACCTTGAGATTAGCAAAGTCAATGGAGAAGCCAGATTCACTTAATAACCATCTTATTAACTTAACAACTGCAGTGATTCATTTAACAATCGTGGCAAAAACGGTTGTAAAAGGGGGGAAAACAAAACAAACAAACAAATTCAGGCACTTAACAAATGTCTCACTTAGCAATAGAAATTTTGGGCTCACTTGTGGTTGTAAGTCAACAACCTGTACTTTGATAACGGTACTTGGGGAGCTGAAGACCTTGCACTGGAAGATGGGGATGTATGGGCACTTGGATGGTTTTGTAACTATCCCACCTTTGGACCCGTACCTGGAGTGCACTGGAAACCGTCCCCCACATAGCCAGCCCGACAACTGCAGGAGAAGGAGCCGGGTGAATTGTGGCAAATGGCAGCTTGGTGGCATTTTCCTTCCTGGCATTCATCCACGTCTGTCAAAGAGGTAGAAAACATCAGGATTGGATTCAGTTTGGGTTCAATCTGAACCTGAGGCATACGCCAGAATGGTTTCTGCTGTCTCAAGATTTTCTGGGAATTTTGTCCAAGTTATATATGTTTGCTTTTTTCCAGTGGCTGTTCCCTCCCCCCGCAAAAAATAAGAAGCAGGGATTTCATGGTTCTCCCACATTCACAAATAAGGTAGCCCAAATCTTTGTGTTGATTGTGGATATTGAGATGAATGTGCTAAGCAAACGCACACTCATTTGAAATTTTCTACGATTTAGAATTAGAGACAATTTTATTTAGTAGTTAAGGCATCCAGGCTACAAGCTACTAGATTGTGAGTTCTAGTCCCATTTTAAGCATGAAAACTGTCAGGGTGACTTTGGGCCAATCACCAGGAGACTGTGAGTTCTAGTCCCATTTTAGGCATGAAAGCTAGCGGGATAATTTTGGCCCAGCCATTCTCTCTCAGCCCATCTCAGCTCATAGGATGGTTGTTGAAGGAAGATAGGAGGACAAAGGAGTATTGTACGTGTTTGCTGCCTTGAATTATCCATGAAAATAATAAAGGCAAGAAATATACAAACAAATTCCGGATTTTCCAATCCATCTCTCTGGTTTGGATACAGAGACGTTTTTACCTCTGATCTAGCATCAACATTTTTTTAATAGACTGATGCTTGGGGGAGATTGGGGGAGAACTATATTTTCAGACTTGCAATATCCTGTCAGAGCCTTGCAAAAAACTGGAATTGGTTCATGTGGATTCAGATTCCTATCTGACTCATCTGGTGAATCTGAAAGGATCATTCTCTGTAGCACTTCATTGATTTCATAAATGCAACACAGTATAGTTTTCTATACATAGCATAAAGGTAAAAAAGAATATATGCAGTGCTATCTTCATTTTAGATGTTAAAAGGGGTTTGTGGCTCCCGGTGGTGTTTTTTTTTTCCTGTGGGAAACGGGTCCAAATGCTCTTTGAGTGTTTAAGGTTGCCGACCCCTGTCCTTTACAGTCTGAGAAACTAGGGAGGGCCTTTTCTAGAGAGGATCTTTTCTGAGCCTGTTGCCCCTTCCACTATCCAGCTGCTGGTTGTCTCTTATTTGGCTATTCCCTTGGTAGCATCTCTTCATCCCAAGGTCTTTCCCACATGCCATTACAACTATCTGTCAATTACCTGTGCAGTTGTGTCCATTGCCAGCATAACCAGTTAGGCACAGGCAGCTGAATGAAATGCCTCCATGATAGACACATCGTGCCCGGTCAGCTGTATCACAGTTGTGAGTCCCTTTTTCACAAGGATTGGGTGGTGGACCAATAGCTGAAAAGGTTAAAATTGGGAGAGGAGAAGGAGAAGTCAATTCTGCACTGCAGTTCATTTTCCTTTCAAGGGAAGTGATGGGAAACCCTTGAGCCCTTGATCTATGCTTGAGCCCATGTTATGTTATGTCATGTCATATATTATTATATTATATTATATTATATTATATTATATTATATTATATTATATCACATCACATCACATCATCACATCACATCACTACACTACACTACACTACACTACACTACACTACACTATACTACACTACATTACATTACATATCAATCTTGTTTTTCTTAGAGTTTGCCCCGGAGGGTAGTATACAGGGTCTGCTCAGAGGTGGGATTCACAGATATTTACCACCGGTTCACAAATGTGACATGGCCACACTCGTATTCATGTGCGCCTTCCGCACATGCGCATGGCCTTCCAACCTTCACACACATGGCATTGAAAACGAGGCTACATAGGACGTCATGGTGGGCAGATCGCCCACAGGTAACCACTACCAGTTTGCCCGAACTGGTCCGAACTGACTGAATACCACCTCTGGGTCTGCTTGCTTTTGCAGGATGTGACAAAGTGTTTTTCAGCTGGCCTGTTGGAGAGTCTGACTGTACCGAATGATTGCTCAAGACCACTCAGCTGACTTCGATGGCTAAGGCAATATTTTGCCCACTGAAGGTGAAACATTTGCAGGATGAGAAAAGTATTGCCTTTTCTTAAAAATGAGAGCGAGAGAAAGTACTAAACATCTTCCCATTACTCCTTCCTTTACTCAAATTTATAACTGGTTCCTGGTGCTTTGCATCAAAATAACTCTACAGCTTCCCGCTGATTTTAAAAGTGAAAGCTTGCACTCACTGTGCATAAAATCTTTTTTTTTCCCCATAGAAAGCATCGGAAATGGTACTGTAGAGAAATGTATGAGAAAAGAGGGGGAGGAGATCTAAACTTCTCATACAGTACTATGTCTTACCTGACGCCAGAGCTAAAATTTACATGATTTATAAAGAATAAACAATAGGATTTCCCAAGACAAAATTCATCCGTAGAATTTTCCAGTAACTTAAAGGTCTAGTTTATGACATATGAGAGTGGATTCATTCTAGAGTAACACAAAAGCACTGAAAACAGACACTCCTTGCCAAATATAGCATTTGTTTTATTTAATGTATTTCACAGTTCGGATGTTTTAATCCTTATGGTCTAAATTTATGTGAAAAATACCAAGTAAAACCTCAAGCCTTAAAGCAGCAGGCTGGACTTTCCAAACAGATTCTCAGGTTTCTTCTCTTTCTCATCTACCTCCATTCTCCCAATTTCCAACCTCCCTGCCTTTTCTTGACAGCTTCTTAGTTGTCAGTGGAAAGTTAATTAAAAACAGGCTGGAAAACAAACATGCATTTCCCATTCAAATCGGAGAAATCCGTGACAAAAGAAAGGCCAAACATTGTGTTATTGGTTACACCTGCTAAAGTAATTCATGCATCCTTTTATATACATATACATACACATATACATATCTGTCATATGTCATCTCTGTCATATGACATACAACAAAGAATTCAAATTATCAAGATTGTGCAAGCATAGAGATCCAGCAGAATTTCTGCTTCCTGAGATTCTCATTGCTGAACAAGAAAATAAAAAGAGAATGTATTTATTATTTAAAAGATCTACAACTACAAAGCACATTAGCAATCTGCCCAAATTAGCAAACAATACAATGCAAATTAAAAATCAAGTATGAAAAACCGAAGACCCTACAACAATGATGGCTAACCTTTCTGCCATCGCATGCCAAAAGCAGGGGAAGTGCAGGGGGAGTCATGCGTGGGCATGCCCACACCCATAATTCTATGCACGTGACACCACCCCCGCGCATATGCATGCATGACCCACCCATGAGCGTGCAACCCCTGCCCTCTCCCCACTTTTGGCGCACGATGGACCCATTTTTCATCCTCCCCAGGCTCCTAGAAAGCCTCCCCCCCAGAGGCCCTCTAGGGAGTGAAAAACAGCCCTACAAGCAACCCAGAAGTCCGTCCCCAAACTTCCGGGTTGCCCCTAGGGCCATTTTTCACCCTCCAGAGGCTTCAGGGTACTTTGCTGAAGCCTCCGGGGGGGGGGGGGAGAAAACAGCCCAATAAGCAAACTGGAGGTCCGTTCCTGAACTTCTGCTTTGTGCATTGGGTTGTTTTTCTCCCTTGCGTGCCCTAACAAATGGCTATGCATGCCACCACAGCCCTACAACAAAACTAACATTTTCTGATGAACTTCTCTCATCAGAACTTTTCAGTTTCAACTCCAGCCAGAAACCAAATGGCAAACTGTGGGAAAGGTTGGTCTGATGATACAGAGAAGACCATAATGAGATGGACATTTAGTGTATTTGATACCAGGTTGTTGACGTCAAGTGAGTGTAATTCTCTATATCACATGTGCCTTTTGGTTGATGAACACATTCCACAACAAGTGGCTTGAAGACTCCTATGAATGTCTCTGGATTAGGGAGACATTGGGTCTTGTACCAAATACAATGAATATGCTTGGGATAAAACTGGGTCTAATATCTATGGTGTACTGGCCTCAACATGCCTAATATAGCTGGAAATTCTGTGTACAACATACATATGATTGAGACTGGTTAACACTTCTGCATTTTACAACAAAGTGTTATATAACAGTCTTGTCTGACTAAAGCCATGATCAATAGTAATAGATATCCCTAGTCTGTTGATGCGTTGTGAGATTAAAGAGATATGCTGGAGAGACATGAACAAGAGAGAGACATGGAAAGATAGAGACAAAGTCAACCACAGTTTATCCTGGATCAAGATAAATTCAAAACCACTATGAAATTCTTGGAAGCTTGGTATTGAGACAAAGTCATCAACAGATACATAGAGATAAACCACATTTACACACCATTCAAGAGAAACAATAAAAAGTTAAGAAAAAAGCAAAAAAGCAATACACATCCTTTCCATCAGTCCATAATTCAGATAAGCAGGGATTAACCCCAGACTAACAATCAAGCAGAAAACAATACCCTAATTCAGGAATTACCAACCTAATTCAGAAAAAAAACATGCTTCTACCAACACCTTCAGGGCAAGCTACTTTATAAACAGGGGGGAAACCCCACACTCACTAGTAACTAATGATGTTACCTAGTTTGGCAATGAAGCATCTGCAAGCAAACAACCAAATTCAGACAGCACCAATAACTCCAAAAGAAAAATGAGTATGTTGTATGTTTCTGAGTAAGAGAAAGGAGGAGAACATAATAGATCTCAATGAAGAGGATCTGATTCTAAGAGATAATTATATTAGTTGAGAATACTGATAATCATTAGACTTTGTACAATATGCTATTTTATCTCATGGCCTCTCCTTTTTTGCTCTCCTCTCCTCAGATGAGCCCCAAACTGTGATTTTGGCTAATTTTGCCAGGTCTTATATCCCCTCTGTTCAGAGCAAGCCCCCTCAAAATAAAGCAATCCCATACCTATGCAGGAAGCTCGGTCAGGTGCCAACTGGTATCCTCTGGGACATTCACATCGATAGGTGCCCGGTGTATTGATGCACAGAGCACCTTGGCTGCATCTGCTGAAGCCCTCAGTACATTCATTGACATCTGAGAAGGGGCAACAAGATTAATGGGACAAATCAATCTCCAGGCCTAAAGCAGGAAAGCTTCCATTAATATTTCCAGATGCTACAGCACATTTTATATTATAACCATTGATTCCCTGGTTTCTCATCTAGCTCATTCCAGTCAGGACATTCAACCTTGTTTCAGCTATGAAAACACAATTGGGGCCAAATGATTCCAGATGTTTGCAAGTGGGAAGTCCCAAAGCTTAATAATCTCTGAAATGTGTTGAAAACGCCAGTTCATCTCTAACCGATACCAGCAGATGGGTAGAAATGAACTTCCCTTTAATTTAGCACAGGTCTGGAAACAAACACGGACCTCTGGTAAGTTTAGCCACTGCAGTTTGAAGTAAGTTTATCCTATCTCATAGAATCAATGAACCATAGGGCTGGAGGCGGCCTTGGACATCTTCTAGTCTAGGAGTACCCAACCGCTGGGCCATAACCCACTTGGAACCGAACTGTGCAAGCAGCGTGTATGCAGCTCCCCCTTGCATGAGTGGCGAGCACTTGCGTGTGAAGCTCCGCTTGTGCAAGCGACAAATGCACATAACCACTGCTTGTGCAAATGGAGCTGTGCAAGCTCTCACACATGCCTGCCACTTACACAAAACCATTCCCTCTCCCTCCCGTTGGGCTGCCAACCTGGAAAATTTGGGGACCGCTATTCTAGTCCAACTCCTTGCCCAGGGCAGAAATCCTTATACAATCCCAGACAGGAGAAATTGTATCATCCTGAACAGATAGTTGTCCAATTTTTCTTTGAAAACCTCCAGTGATGGACCACACCATTCCTAAGCAAGACATCATGTGACTGCATCTTGTGATTTTACTGCCAGCTTCTCCATCGACTCTGCTTGTGAGAAACCAGTTGTGAAGCATACAAACAGCAATCGTCTGATTATGGAAAGCTGCAACATTTGTAAGTGTGAGACCCAGTCATAAAGTTACTTTTTCAGCACTGTGGTTGACTTGAATGATTATCAAATATGGCAGTCATTAAGCGAGGACTACCTGCATTTGGGAAGAGAGCTAACAAAATAGTAAGCCACTGCTTTGTAGGTCCAAGTTCAGATCTCTGTATCCCTAGTAGGGTAAGAAATGGTTCAATCCAAATTCATAGAGATCCACTTGCAATTCAATCAGAAAAAGCACTTTGTGCTTCTCAGACTTTTTTTAATTAAGTGTTTTATTTTAATATATATATAAGTATTAAATACATGAACAGTGTGGCATCTGAGTATCAATAATTTTGGTACCAAATAACAGTGATGAGATTAACAATTTTGATAGCTTAATTATATCAATCATATTCACAACATTATAATAACATTGTACATAATACAATCATCTTTCAACTTTTAGTCCCGGGATGGCGAACCTATGGCACGTGTGCTAGTAGGGTCGTTTTTCATCCTCTGGAGCCATCAGGGAAGTCTCCTGAAGGTCCCTGAAGGCTCCGGAGGACTAAAAACGGTCCTACGGACAAACTGGAAGTGACTGGAAGTGACTTCCAGTTTGCTCATAGGGTCATTTTTTGCCCTCCAGAGCCTTCAGGGAAGCCCCCAGAAGGCCCCTGAAGGCTCTGGAGGGCTAAAACTGGCCATACAAGCAAACTGGAGGTCCGTTCCAGAACTTCCAGTTTCCTGTAGGGCTGGTTTCTTGCACTCTGGAGGCTTCAGGGAAGCTCCTGAAGCCTTCAGAGGGCCTCCATGGGGGAGGCTGTTTTCGCCCTCCCCAGGCTCCTATAAAGGAACATGCAAAAAAAAAGGGTCATGTGCGCATGTGCACTGGGGCCGTGCATTGCATTATGGGTGTGGCACGCCCACGCACGACCTCCCCTGCGCTCCCCCCGCTTTTGGCACGCGAGCCAAAAAAGGTTCGCCATCAGTGTTCTAGTCCTTTCATCTACATACTAATTTTAGCATACCACATAGAAATATACATAATAATATTTACCCCTTTCTAATTTCTACCTCTATTCTATAACTTAATATCACAAATCTTTTATTGGTAGGTACTCTATTTCTATCCTTCATCACTTTTCGATTTTATTATTTCAGTTCTTATTCATTTTTCTTTTTTTCCTTTGGATAAATATTACAATTAACATTGTTTATTTTTTTTAAAAAAGCTTCTCAGATGTTGTTGAACTACAACCTTCCATAATACTGACGTAGTTTAATCCATGTTTTAATTTAGCAATTGCGTTCACATAAAATGCTGCCCCAGGCTAAAGACAAAACAGCTATACATTATTTTATCTGTTTTTCCCTAATATACTTTGTGAATTTACAAAAAATGGGCCAATTTAGTAATAAAGTGAAGCATCCTCTGCAAATAACAGTTACTACAGGTAGCTTCTGTTGTTCCCCAAAACAAATCTGTAAACTCACAGCAAACTCCTAGGACAAAATGTCAGAGCTTTGAGACAAGACAAGAAGTAAAAGATTTGTCCTACTCACCTACACACTCTTTGCCATCTCCCCAGTATCCAGCAGTGCACTCACAAAGGTAATCCAGACCAAGCCCTGGTTGGCATCGTGCCATTGTGTCACAAATGTGAGTGCCATCATAGCATGGGTTCACTGTAGTTGGCCCAGAACTATCTAAAACAGCAAGAAAATCAGTGAAAAGAGATCATTTGTATCTATATTCTGCCTTTCCCCTAAAGAACAACAACAACAATAATAATCTTTATTGTCATTGTACATATATACAATGAAGTTGATTTAGACTCTACTGGTGCAATCCATAACAAAATACAAAACAACATGGATAATATAGAAAATGGTTTTTATACAAGTAATTACAGAGAAACCAGTCATATGTTTCCATGGATGCATGGAGTGTTTTTAGTTGTATTTAGGATTTCTGACAGCCCATGGGTAAAAGCTGTTTTTAAACCTGTTTGTCTGGCTGGCTATACTTCTGTGTCTTCTGCCCGATGGTAAAAGTGAGAAAAGACACTGACCAGGATGTGAAGCATCCCTAAGTGTCTTCCTTACTCTGCTGAAACAACGAGACCTGGAGATGTCAGGTGTTAGGGGACAACCAATGGTTTCTTGTGTCAAATTAATCACTCTCTGTAGTGCCTTCCTTTCCGCAGCCATTGAACCTTACATATCATATTGTTATACAGTATGTAGTATACTGTCAGGGTTCCTAAAATAGCATCCAAAATAAATCAGAGTCCAAGGCAAAGTATTGCTCAAAGTTCTATTTATTAAGAGAGCCATGTTGGCACACCTGGGAAAACCTGAATCTGAAAGCTTCCTGGATTTTCCCCACCTAGGTGAAAGTTCAAGATCTTCCCCCACACCCACAAGNGAATAGAATAGAATAGAATAGAATAGAATAGAATATTTGGCCAAGTGTGATTAGACACACAAGGAATTTGTCTCTGGTGCAAAAGGTCTCAGTTCACATGCAAAGCAACAGACCAATAATTATAGTAGTAATCATACCAATAAGAGGGTTTCATTATTTGCAGTTATTGGCCTGTCTGTTGGAGGATGATGGGAAATGTAGTGCAACTTCTTAAGGGGTATCAACTTGAGGAAGAAAATCTAAATGTCAGACTTTCCAATTCAAACCTGGCAGTTGTTTGCTAGACATTTCAGCTATTGCACCAGAGGCAATTTTTGTGTGTCTAATTATGCTTTGTCAAATTATTCTATTCCATCCCATCCCATCCCATCCCAGTATTGCCTTCAGGCACATCTGAAGGGGGTTTAAATGTTATGATAGCAACCAATAATTATTCCGCTCTCTTCCATAAATTTGTGGAATTTACTCATAGTTTCCTATTGCTTTCAAGTGGACTAGGTTTTCTATATATACCGCCTCCAGGATTTACAGCTGGATAAACACTCATCCTTCAACTATGACTGTTTCCCTTTTTTTAACCTTAAATTTGGATTCTTAATCCTGAAATCTGGAACTCATTTACATACTTAAGAGTGGGAGCGGAAGACAACAAACTGTGCTTCTTGTTGTTAGGGAAGCCATGGACCGACCCCTCATCTTGGAAGGAGGCACTGTAAGTTTGCAGCCCACACGCTCTGAAATCTCTTTATCATTATCAGACAGGAAGTCTGGCTAATCCTCAATGATTGCTTCAGGAAGCGTAGCTTCACAAACTCAGGGAAGGGTGAAGGGGTGAACAAGGCAGCAGAGAAGTTAAAAGGCATCTCAGTTTCCATCCTCCCCCTCCCCACACACACACACAAATTATCCCCTTAACTGAAGGACCATGAAAATGATGTTTGGAGAGTGATACAAAACAACTTGCATGCCAGTAGTTCTCTTATGATCACCATTGAGCCCAAAATGTTTGTTGCTAGGTGAGACATTTGTTAAGTGAGTCTTGCTCCATTTTACGTCCTTTCTTGCCAATGTTGTTAAGTGAATCACTGTAGTTGTTAAGTTAGTAACATGGTTGTTAAGCGAATCTGGCTTCCCCATTTTACAGAGTCCCTCGACTTACAACAGTTCATTAGATGAGTGTTTAAAGTTACAATGGCACTGAAAAAAGTGACTTATGACCATTTTTCACACTTACAACCATTGTCAAGCCCTCATGGCCACATGGTCTTTGCTTGCCTGAAGGTCGCAAAAGATGATCATATGAACCCGGAACACTACAACCATCGTAATTGTAAGCCAGTTGTCAAGCATCCAAATTCTGACCATGTCAACATGAGGATTCCACAATGGTTGTAAGTGTGAAAAATGGTCATAAATCACTTTCTTCAGTGCCACTGTAACTTTAAACACTCACAAAATGAATAAATAAATGAATGAATAAATACAGGACGCGGTGGCTCAGTGGCTAAGATGCTGAGATTGTCAATCAGAAGGTCGGCTGTTCAGCTGTTCAAATGCCTAGCGCAGTATAACGGAGTGAGCTCCCGTTACTTGTCCCAGCTTCTGCCAACCTAGCAGTTCGAAAGCATGTACAAATGCAAGTAGAAAAAATAGGAACCACTTTTGGTGAAAAGGTAACAATGTTCCATGCGCCTTTGGTATTTAGTCATGATGTCTACACGACCACGGAGATGTCTTTGGACAGCTCTGGCTCTTTGGCTTTGAAATCGAGATGAGCGCCACCCCCTAGAGTTGGGAATGACTAGCACATATGTGCGAGGGGAACCTTTCCCTTTAAATGAACTGCTGTAAGTCGAGATACTCCCTGTACTCTGAAGAAGCTTTTATTTTATTTTTTTAAAAACCCTCAAACTCACAATATGTTGACTGGCAATTCCATCTGCAAGTCTGTTTTTGAGGACATGTGACTTTTTCCTTCTATGTTGGAAAAGCAATTCTGGCTCCTCCTTAAAGCTCAGTATTCAGGAGAATCTGGCCGGAATGTCCATTATACCTTTGAAAGCAGAAATAAATGTTCCTTGCATTTCAAAGCAAATGGTAACTTCATCCTGGAAAATATTCAATGCAGATACGCAGATTCTGCTTAGCCATTTATTGTAGGCACTAGTACATTATCATCTTAGAGACTGGCAGCCAAAACTTCCAAGGAATTTAAATGAGTGGAGAGAATGAAGCTGAAATGCAAAACTGCTCAAAAATCTCTCTCATCCCAATTCAAACTCACCTCCCAAGGGTCCAATTTGGTTGGTAATGGCATACCGAAGGATCCTTTCCTCCTCATTGTACAAAGCAAAGATCCTGTCCACCGTCAGCTGCTGGGTAGTTCGAAGAAACCTGAGAT